AAACTGCTTAATTAGATTTTTCTAAAAATTCTTAATAAAAGGGTTGTTGCTGTTTAAAATTTTGTTGAATTTTTCTCGATTTTCTACAAAGCTTGAAATATGGACTTATATGACTATTGTTAGATATTGAGCCAGATTTTTATAAAAAATAATAAACATTTAACAATGAAAATAAAAATAGCCGAAACTGGTCAAAATGTCGCGTCTCTATTATTTTTCCCATGACTGTATATGTCTATCCGTAAAAGACCTTTGATTAAAAAACCAAAGAAGCCTCTTGTTACAGTTTCTTCAATAAGTGTACCATTCACTGATGACTGCGCAGCATATTAAATCCTTGTTATTTTGTTTATGTTTTGATTCACTTACTTTTTTATCGACTGTGTATGTATAGGCGTAGGCGTTTTTTAATGTACTGGGACAAACACTTCTACAAACATACATAAATAACCTATGAGTGTACACAGTGCATCGAGCATAAACGAAAAATGCTTATTCACATAATTGCTTTCAGATGTACATACGTACATATGTAAATACATACATACCTATGTGTGAATGCCTAAATACCTACTTAAGCATTTAATTTCAGTAAACACAAAGCATGTTTACCCGTTATCGCTGCCATATCCGTGGATGGAATGAGGGAAATCACACAACCAAATATTTCCGAAATGCTTCGTGAAGTTAGAGAAAAAATTCGCTACATAAACTTTGTGTTTTTATATATGTATATACATTAGGGTGCATCTGTACTGTTTTTCCAACGGACATACACCATTTATTATACATCCAAAAATGTATACCATAATTCATAAAAAATAAAGAACACTTTAACTGCTTTATAAATCGAAAATTTTTATGAAAATGTTACTTTATAGAGCTCTTTAAACCTATTTTATTTCCAATGAATAGTTATAATGAATTTTTTAGGCAAATACCACTGTGCGAGCCACGCCCATTATCCAAAAATTTATAATAATCAAATTTTATGCTAAGCGGTTATTGCAATCATCAATTTTAGGAGAATCAGGTTCAGTAGTTACTGATTTATCGCAGTTTTCGTGTTTCTGTAAATTCCCGTTATATGGTAGGTGGGCATGGTTATTGCCCGATTTCAAAGGTTTTCAACAGATTTCGTAGCTAGACCTTTGCAAATAGTGGCGCAATTTAATCCAAAGTTACACAAATAGGAAACTTGCGCGCTCAAATTAGCAACCTTAAGCAGGGATCACACGATTTGTACATTTGTACGGATTTTAACATTTTCGCCGTTAGAGAGTGGTATTGTTTGGAAAGTTGTTATTGACCTGAACTCATTATCGATAATAATTTCTAGACAGCACCACTCTGTAGCTGCCAAATTTGTAAATATACAAATCGTGTGATCCCTGCTTAAGTGAATTAATAAGTGTGAAGTGTCTTTAAGCAGCAATGTTTACAAAGAAACGGAATCAAATTTCTTGGTTGTTTATAACATTGCTTCATTAGCGTAGCTATACATATGTACATATGTACGTATGTATGTATGTATAATATTAAATCGGCAGGAGGCGCTGAAGTAATTTGACCATACATGCGTATGTATAAAAAAAATAAATATTTCGGTCTCACATTTTTGTTAAGCCTTTAGCCAAGCTTCATCAGCTCCAATTTGTGTTAAAGTTTAAACAGACGGCAGCGTTGATCCGGATTAACTCGGACTTAATCCGGATCAATTGCAGTTAATTCCCGAATTTGTCCGGATCAACGCTGCCGTCTGCTTATGCTTTTACGGTTCTTGCTGTTGTTACACAAAATAGCGCTGCCTATTGCTTTATGCCGCCTCCGAACGGCAGATGGCTTTTTATGAGCAAATTTTGCATGTTAAATTAATCCCGCTCGTTGGGCATCCGTATTATAAAATTTCGACGAACTTATAATTTAAAGTTACTTAACTTTTTAAGCAGGTGACTGGTTTCAACCCTCGTCAAGAATACTTTCCAAATATACAGACGTTTTTTAGTTAAAGCCTCTCCTGTTTGTGACCCATAATCAAATATTTTATTTAACATACTGATCAAATTTATTTTAAATTTCTATACAACTCCCTTCAGAAATAATTTTGTAATAAAGCTTATACCTACCTCGTTTGATATCCGTATTAAAATATTTCTTTCAAGTTGTTAATTAATGTTATTTTTTGAGAAGGTGGCAACCCACTTAAAAAATATTTTCGAAATAAATCGTTTTTAACCCCATTCGTTAGTCAACAAAATTGTTGTGAACCGAAAAAAATATAACCCTATTTATTCACTTTGAAATCTAAAATATTTAGAGGCTGTTCAAAATTTTCAATGTATTTTATAATGGGGAAAAAACAACATTTCGTAGAAATGGTATGGAATTCTTGAAAACTTGTAATTTTCCATCGATTCTATTTAGGAGACTTCCAATGGTAATATCCAATTGTTTATTTAACAATTTTTTAATACTAACGATGGCATTTTCAGGAGGTTTGGCCGGACCTATCAAATAAAGTTACTATTGAAAAAGAGGTTAAATAAACAAGTGGGTATTATTACTGGCAGTCTTCTGAAGAGCAACAGAGCTTTTCGATCGAAAACTATTTATTTTCAAGAATTATATATAATTTCTGGAAACATGGCAAACTTTGAGCACTTTGAGCGACCTCTAAATAATGTTTGATTTCAAAATAAAATAAATAGGGATATTTCGTCGGTATAGAATAATCCAAGGGGGGCGACAGCATTAAAATTCCGACATAAATTTTCCACATGCATTTTTGGACCTACCTAATGTACATCCATACATACATAAACGTATTCACCATGCAAATTAATTATCCAAAGGCTAATTGCATTTTGGATATTCATTTTATTTTAAACATTTTAATTTTATTTCAAAAATATTGAGTTACATACATATTTCTTAAGTTTTTAAGTTTAAAAATTAATATTACATACTACAAATTATGAAAGAGAAAATCCATCCTTCTGTTTCTTTACCACTTCATTTTTTCTTTTAAATTTGCAAACGCTGCATTCTTTTAACTCCCCGCGTTCTCTGTTTTTTTTTTTTGTAATAAAAATCCGCTCAGGATTGATAGGTTCCCAGAAAAGTGCCGCACATCGGGCAGAAGTGATTTGCATTTCGGCACGTATCCATACAGTAGGGTAGACAACAACAAATGCTATATTCATAGGGACAAAGAAAAGAAAAAAGAGTAAATTTAAGCATAAATTTAAGACATACTAGCATACATACTTATATGTACTTGCATACACACTTGAAAACTCACACCTGCCAATTTTTCCGAAATTGAATTAAACTGCTAGTAAAATTTGCAATATTTTTATATTTATACATAACTTTCGAAAAAATATCCAGTTATGAGTTTTCAATGTTCGACCATCGATATATAGGTAACTATTTTATGATTTACACACTTACCAAGACCACGAGAGCAACAAACATGCCAGATGCGTCTTGGTGGTCGAGCGATGTCGAACCTTCGTCTCCACCATACACTTGCACTGTGGGCAACGCAATTTGGTGGATTTTGGACCCACTGGCGGATTGGGATTTGTATAGATGGTTGTGTAGGTTGGTATGGGCTCTGTTATATTCAGAGGCACAGCGCTAGCTGCAGTCGGCCTTGCGGCTACATTTTCGGATTGGATATAAGCCGGCGGCGGCGGTGCAGTACCGCCGTTCAAATTAGATTGAAGCAGTTCATTGTGCATTTCTGTATACGGTTGCTTATTAAAAGCCATTTTGAACACACAAAAAAATATGAAAAACAACAATTTAACGAAATGTTAAAATATCAATACTTTTTAGCGCCACTTAGCAAGCGCAGTCCTGAAACTCCCGATAAGTACTAATTCGTAGTTTATGCCGGTTTACTCTGCGCCGCTTTGATTTTTGCCTGCTAGCAGAGTTTTCAGTGGATCTGAAATTATGTACATATTTCAATACAGTTGGTTTAGTTTTTCAAGCGGAGTACACATCCACAGTAACTGCAACCTGTGTGCGGACTTCACTCCAATCGTGTTAAAGTTTCAAAAAAATATTATATTTTTTATGTAATATCATGTGAGCCATGTAAATAATAAAAAAACAAATATACAAAATTATTTTAATAAAAAATATAAAAAATAAAAACTATTGCGACTTTCGTTCTTGGAAATTTTCGTGCTTCCAAAAGCATTGAGCCATAATTTTCAGGCCCAATAGTCAGCGTGTGTGCTTCTGAATTAAGCGAACTTTTCAACAGATGGTTCCCAATCGCTCCTTTTTAACATAAAAATTAATTTTGACAGTTTAGAATTTTTTTGAAAAAATAATAAGCAATTTTTGACACTAAAGGAAAAATAATTCAAAAAAATCAGTTGATACTACCTGTTTAATATGCCTTGAAATATATTGTACGTATTCTTCACTTTCTGCTTTATAAAAGTAAATATTCAGAGCCATCGGCGTAGCCAGAATGAAATTTAGAGGGGGAGGGCTCGATCCTATTAAGCTGGCATTTCAGGGTACTATTTTATATATATATAAGGAAAATTTGAAAGTTAGGGGGCGGAGGGCTCGAGCACCCCCCAGCCCCTACCTGGCTGCGCCCATGTTCGGAGCTCTATAAAAAAGTGCTGCGCGCAATAGTGTAGCAGAAATAATTTTTCTTAAATGAATCCATAATAAAAACATAGTGGGGTTAAATAAAATGTACATAAATCTGAGTAAAAATTTATTTGCCCCATCTTCGAACATACCACAAGAATTCCTTTGCATTACCTCTAATAGCTTTAAACATTTTGACTAATAATGTTTGATAGTGAAAAATTCACAAAAATCTCCTTTTGTTTGTTAAGATAAAGGTTGCTTGATATAACATACATGTTTCACCAGAAATTAGTAGTTGCTACTTTTTTAGGCATTTACAAAAAGTTGAACGCTTTACTTATTCGGCTTCCATTCGGGCTTTTCGCAACTCATTTCGATCATTAAAACAAATTTATGAAATTTTTTTGAACTCTGAATTTTATATAACAATTCTGAACTTTTCATATTTTTCTTCTTCTTTTTTTGAGACCTTCCGCGATTTTTCGTAACTTTTCTGGGCTTTGCGATCTTTTTTTCTAGGTTTAACCTTTGGTGTTCAAAACTGTAGCTAAGTAGTAAGCATACTTTTCTTATAGATTCGTATACAAAAATTAAAAATTTAAATTTTCAATGTAAATTTTGTTTTAGGTCAAAATTTTTAAGTAAAGAAGTTCGATTTATCCTTGGGTCCAAACTCTGGTAAACATGCACATTATATACAAATGTACATGCATGTATACATACATACATAACCACATATGCACATATTAAAGGTCTGCTTGAATCCATTTAAAACGTCAGGGTAAGTATTCGTGTTCAAAATCTGAGAGTTGTTCGAATGAAACGTAGAGACCGTACATCCGCCTCGGCGAGGAAAAGCGTTGCCAACCTTTTGAAAAGACCACTTAAATTAAATTATTCACAAGTTATATGAAATATTAAACTATGAACGTCAAACAAAAGACTCTTAGGAAATCTTAATATTTTTTCCCTTTGAAGTCATCTAGCAATTGTTTTTATAAAGGAGCTTTTATAATAAGGAAAAATTATGTACTCAAATTTTATGGCCTTATACATAAAAAATAAAGCGGGTTTAAAGAGCTTTATAAATTGATGTTTTCATACATTTTCCAGTTTATAAACCTTTTATAAAGCTGCTTTATTTTTTATAGATAAGATCAATAGAATTCTCTGAACGATAGTAGGAATTTCTACCTAACCGACTAAAAAGGCATTCAGCAGAAAATAAAATTTGGAACTTTTCTACTTTCGAAAACAAAAAGCTGCAATCTATTCACAGTGTTTTTAACTCATTAGACTTCATTTTTCAAAACTCCCCAAAACCAAAAAAAAAATTACTGAAGAACATAATGAAAAATCCGCGTTGGCAAACTATTAGGAAAATAATGAAAAATAGTCTTTGTAAAACATCAATTAAATAACTGGCTTACTTCAGTGTTTTTTTTTTTGGAATAAAAAGTTATACATATTCAACATAATGTATTTTGAATGAACTCATGCAGACCTTTAATACTTACATTTGTTTGCATTAACAAATAGTGCTCTGCTATGTAGCTTAATGTTGTTCTTACTTCGCAATGTTGTTCATATTTTTTACGGTTTTTGTTTTAGTACTACTCCCTATTCAATATTCTTTTTTTTCAGTTTTAAGAAATTTCTGCAAATTTTGTAATTATTTTTTGGTTAACGATTTTTTAATGTTTTCTTTTAAAACTCCAGAGCTGGTTGCTTTGAAAGCGTTCAAGCCTGCCTTCTTTCAGCGTAAACTGATAGCCGGCGTATAGAATTATCGCTTATTAAGCCAAATAATATTTGTGTGCATGTGAGCATTAGGGTGGTCCATAAAGATTTATAATGTTAAACTCTCACTCCTAAGGATTTTTCTAAATGTAAAAAAATAATACCTTTTTTTAAATGATGTTTAGAACTTTGCCATCAAACAATGTCTGCGTTTAAAATCTTAACACATCTTTTTAACTTTCCAAACAGAACATTAAAGCTTTACTTGCGTACATACATATGTATGTACATGTATATCCCAGCTTCGAGTGAAATTTGTACAATACCAGTTTTTATGAATAGTTACATTTTGATACAGAATTACAAAAATCCAAAAAAATCCTAGAAAATCCACTAAATTCAACAGAAAGTGAAAATACTCATTAACTTCAAACTGTACTGACTCGCATGAAGTTACATGTTTAGCTTTGAATACGCAAAAATTTTGTTATCGAAGTCTTTCAAAATATTTGAAGAAAATGAGAAAATGCGTTTAATAAAAAATTCGCTTTTCTCTCCTGTAAAATTTAAAAAACTGGACTTAAATAAATATATACATATATAACTGTAAAAGCTAAGTTACGCTAGGCAACAAATCATTGATGAAATTTTGTGAATTGTATATAAAGTGCGAAAATTTTATTTACATGGTTTATATTATAGAATGAGCTATATCTTCATAAATAAATAATGCAAAAAATGTTTCATTAAAATAATTTTGAATATTATACTAGAACAAGGTGTGCACTTTAATTTATCGCCTAGTGTATATTCTCGCATGTATTTATCAACAACAGTTTCGGAGCATACATATGTATGTGCATAAGTGTCCGTCTACAGCAACGATGGGCAGAGAAAGCTTTTACCCTGCACGCGCCTATACAAAATTTATAGGAAGCTTAAAAGAGCTTTTCCCACGGGCAAGGCAGTGCCCATCAGTGGTCTACAGCTTCTAAACTAAGCTTTCAAACAAAACTCAACTTCAGGTACGGAACTGAGCTACAGACATATGTAAGTGGCGAGAACTTTGATCGTGACTGCTGCAATCAAATAAGCTGAGCTTCAAATAGCTTGCGAGCAGTATATTACAAGCACACTCGTATTTTACAGTATAGATTTTTAAAAGGAAATGAATGTGCCTAATAAAGCTCACAAATTTTACCCAAAACATACATACATAACGAATGTAACTGGTACAAGAATTTTATTTAGTTCAATTTTTAGCCGCGTTCATTGATTTAATTTCGCCATACCAAGTTTCTATACCCCATTACGAATGCAAAGGTATGCAGTATGAAAAATTCAAATTTGTTTAAACTATGACCATCTTTAGGATGTCTGCAGCGGGCGTGGGAAATTTGGTAAAAAAAAATTTGAGATACGAATCAGTCTTCGAAGAAAAATTTGGTAAAATTTCTGTATCGTTATAATCAAAGTTCGACATAAAAAAAAACCGAAAATAAATTTAGCAACACCTGATGGAGTAACGGCAAACCTTTCCTCCAAGAATATTGACGTACATACATATGTAGGTATACCGGAGTACGATCGTTTCGATTCAATGTAGATCTAGAAATATTTGGGTTGGTTTCAATGTTTAATTCAGCATTACGAGTGTATTTATTATAAAGGATTCTATCGAAGTGATTAAATTACTTTAAATAATGCAAGCCTTTAAAAACAAACGTGAGATTTTTGGTAAACTTGAACCTTTTGTAGAATCAGTTTTTTAAATTCTTGAGCCTTTTAAGCGCTTTTGTGTGTCAAGGTATTTTGAATGACATACTTTTAACTTTTTTAGAAAAATTTAGAAAAAACATATCCCAGAAGCCAAAATTTAAAATAGAATAACAACCAGAAATTTTCTCGCCAGACAACAAATTGAATATTTTTAATTAATCTGTCATTCAAAAATGTTTGGAGCTAGTCTATCATAAAATAATTGTATTCCATCACCACAATGCGAAAGAACACACGCAAATGGCGACACGTCCAAAATGATTGCAGCTGGGATGAGATGTGCTGCCACACCCAAAAAAGCGCCTTCCAATTTCCAATTGTTTTGCTCTTTTTAAAACTGCATTCAAATGAGGCGGTAAATCAGTACTTTTTACAGTTTTTTTTCTCTAAAGACAGGCCATTCTATTAACGGAGAATTGCGAAGCTCACCTAAAGATGGCAAAAAGCCTTTGAATAAAGCTACTAATATATCCTTGATTGATCTTGAACACAAAATAATTAATATCCTGAGCCATAATTCATATTAGTCGAAATAATGACAAACAATTTAACGCAAAGGAATTGAATTTTAAATATGCAATGCGCACATCATGATTCAATTTAACTTCTAAAATTACACTTAATCTAAAGCTGAAAAAGGTTTTACAAATTACAGCTAGACGCATTTAAGTATATGTGCACTCATTTACATAAATACTCGTATATACCCGTATTTATGTACAAA